CTACCTTTATGCTGCTGGCAGCAACCCTCAGGTGGGCCTCCTGTACCTAGCACTGTGCTAGTTTAATTCAGCTGAGTGTAATATGTTGACTACCAGTTAGAAATCCATTACATTCACTGATCAATAAATACTGGAATGAAGGAATGACAGTCACAGTTCATACTCACTGGTCTTTACTGCCTGCAGAATGAAAGCTTAAACACCTTAATGTGGCAGTTAAAACCTTCACTAGTCTGCCCCTTGTGTAGTACTGCAACCATATATCTCTGCCCCCTACCATTCCTCTGTCCTGTTTCAGGTTAAGGACCCCAGCCCTCCTTGTGCCTCTGCAGATGCTTTTCTCTGCTTTTAAAGTTTATCCTTCAAACCATTGTTATATGTCCTCCTTTAACCACTTTTCCACGTGGAATGCAATCGTCCTCTACACATCCAGAAAAAGTTTGTGTTAGACTTTCTGATTATACTCAAGGGAGGACAGAGCTTACACTCTGAACAAGAACATAGAGGTTCATGTTCTTCCTGCCACCTTCAAGCCATGAGTCCCATGGTTGATTATACAAACTCTCTGATTTTCAACATTCTCATTTGTAATGTGTGTCTGCAATGGGTCTTTGACCTTGCAGGAGTTTGGGCAGGATTGATGACAACTACAACTCCACAAGGTAAACTTTTTTCTTTTTGGTGGCCAGCTTAGGGCACCCTGGAGGCGGGGCTGGCACAGCATGTGGTGCCGGGGATGGAACTGTGGTCCCTGCACACTTGCCTGAGCTTGCTTAAGCAGGCATTTTAGACTGTTGAACTGTCTCACTGGCCCTGCACAAGGTAAACTCTTAAAAATACAATAGCTGCTTTAGTGACTGTGGCAGTTCTACCACCTTTTGTGATGTCATTAAGTGAGATGTGTTGCTGTCCTATTCTAGGTTGCAAAGTGTATTTGTCTAGTTTTTCTTTACATAACACAACCCCTGCCATTCTTTAGAGTGGTATACATATGGGAGGAGCCCAGAAAGTGTTCAAATGAATGGATAGGTGGGAGAAATTGGCCAATGCATGTCCAGGCCCTCATCATCTGTTGAAGAGCCTTCTGGAATGGGCAGTGAGACTACCAATGCTTACTCTTTATTTCAAGACATTTCTGAGTGGAAGTCTCTGGATCATCCTGAATTTCCCGCAATCCTCTCCACTTTTACTGCTTTAAATTCCCTGCTACCATCCACCCTGTGTTTGACCATTTCCTGTCATCTGTGAGAAACAGGCCAGTGGCCTATGAACGAAACTGAGTATGGGAAGATTTTCAACCTATGAATGATGCTGAGAATTTTGTGAACAATGAGGACTCGGGAATTTTCACCTGTTTTTCCCTCTTTCTCTTTTAATACTGCAATAGACTGAAAAAGCTTCCAGCCAAGAGAATTATTGCCTCTTCTTGCCTGGATCTTAAATCTTTGTTCAAAGACAACTTGTTTTAATTGAAAATGTTCAATCAATTTCTGCTATCCTTCCTCCTTGTGTCCCTTTTCTTGACTCAGAGGGGTAAATATGGGCTTTGAGGTATGAGGCTTTGAGGTATGAGGAATGCATAAGAGGGATGTGGGAGACACCCCCAGTAACTCCCACTTTATAACACCATCTTTTAAACAGAGCTTGTCCAAAACAAATAAACACCTTGGAGTGGAATTTTTTCTGGGATAACTGTGTTCCTTAGAGGTTCTAGAGGACAGAGGGACAAGGATACTGTGTATGGTTGCTTCGGGTCTGGATTTCAGTATGGATGGAGAAGAAGGGATCAGTCTTCACTCCCACCATTCAGTCCCGTGGCGCTCAGCAGGTGCTGCAGTACTCCACCCCAATGATCATGTGCCGAGTATTATGGTTCACATTTTACAGCCAAGAAAAGTGAGGGTCAGGATGATAGAATTCCTTATGCAATTCTCATAATGTTCTCCTTTCCTATGTGGATGGTATAAAATCTCCCCAGTTTAGTGGCTTAAAACAGCAGTAGCTGTGCTCGCTTCGGCAGCACATATATTAAAACAGCAGTGGCTATTCTTTCATTTTCTCTGTGGGTCAGTAATCAGGGAAGGGCTGGAGGAGCGGTTCTAATGCGGAGTCTGATGCAGTTACAGCCAGATGACAGCTAGAGCCAGAGGAGCAGAACCTAGAGGGGTCACTGGCACCCTTGTGTAAGCAACAAGCAGGAGTCACCCCTTGTGCTCTCAGCACTCAGGGCCGTTAGCCCGCTTGCATGGAGTCTCAGGTCTCCAGCTCAAGGATCCCAGGAAGCAGGGCACAAGTTCTGTCACCTCTTCTAACCTTGCTTCAGGAGTCACACAATGTCACTTCCTCCCACTTCTGCCATCTGTTTGGTTAAAAGTCATTTACAAGTCCATGAAAATTCAAGGGGAAGGGATATAAACCACACTTCTCTGTGGAAGAAGTGTCAAGGTCATACTGCAGAAGCACACAGCAGCCAGGAGACACTGTGACAGACATCTCTGGAAAATACAGTCTGTACGCAGGGGCGGGACCAGGGTCTGGATTAGTCAGAGCTGTTTGCCAAACTTCAGCTGCAACTTTTCACTTCATCCTACAGGGACCTCTGTTTTCCTCTGTGAGCTGAGCTTTTACAGTCAGCCCACACAGCTGCGATTTTGTCTCCTCCAGCTGATGGAGAATGAATGGGTTAAAAGCAGCCAGGCTTTCCCTGCAGACCCTGCTTATGAGCAGACCTCCAGGTTCTGCTGGGCATAGAGGCCACACCCAGTGCCAGCCTGTGAACTTTTAAAGGGGACAGGAAAGGTCAGTCAGATCCAGAGGAGGAGAGAAGGTGGCAGCCCTGGAGCACAGACAGCCTGCAGTGCAGCTCGCTGTCATAAACAACTTGTCTGGTGTTTTTCCTTCTCCCACCAGGCACTGGCCTGGGATGACTCAAGCTTTGACAGAAAAGGTGCCTTCAAGTCACGAAACAGTCCAGGGCAGTGGAAAACTCATGGTTCTGAAGTCAGATATGCCTGGATTTAAGTCCTGACTCTACCACTACCAGTTATGTGGCCTTAGATGAGCTCCTTAGCCTGTCCGTGTCTCCTGTGCTGGGTTGTTTTGAAGATTACATGGTATGTAGGCAACACTCCCTGGGAAGTACCAGGCACACAGTAAGAGCTCTGTGAATGCCAATCATAACATCCTGGGCCCCGTCCTGTCCCAGGTCAGGGACTTCTTGAAGAAGGTGGTGAGAACTCACTTGAGTGGTTCCCAAAGATTGCTCCCTCTCCAGGGCCCTGAAGAGAGGGGGCCTAGAAGCCTCACTAGCCTCAGCCAGCACCAAGGTCAGGCCTGCAGCAACTGCCTATCCACGGTGCAAGTAGAATCTTCTCCATCTTTTTCTCCCACTCCACTTTGTCCTCTCCACTGTGACCCACAAATACTCTTCCCACCAAATGTTCCCCTCACACATGCTCTTGCACAGTTGAAACACAGGATGCCAAGCTGTCTCATTGATGAAGAACTAGAAAAGGCTGTGGGAATGTAGAAGGACCCTGTCCCAGCATGGGCACTGAGAAGACTCATGTAGGGAAAGATAACCGAACTGCAGGATTTGGGCTGAGGAGAAACTGGCCCTGGAGGCACAGGAAGGGGAAGGAAAGTTCCCTAACTCAGCAGTGTGAAGAGCTAGAGCTGAGTAGGGAGGCAGCAAGCAGGAAACAGAGAAAACAGTCAGGGGCCCAACTGAGAGCACCTCTCTAAGTCATGCTGTAAAAGCAATTGGGAGCCACTGATATGCTTTACTGAGCTGTGTGGCATGAGAGGATCCTATCTTAGAGCCACCCCACTCCATAGCTACACAACAGAAAATGTCCTGGCTGGGGAGGGAGGCGTGCTATGGTAGAATGCCCATTAAGACAGGATGACAGCAATCTAAGGGAGAGATGATTCTGGCCCGTTCTGGGAGGAAGGAAATAAGCAGAGCAAATCAAGAGAAAGGTTTCATGGGGATGGGCTGGTGATGGTTTGCATGTCTGGAGCTGACAGTGCAGGAAAAGGAACAGTTGAAGGTTAGGTGAGTGACCATCTAATTTGTACCCTGTGATGTAAGTGATAGGTGCTTTGAATGAAGTCAACCCAGAAGCACAGGAGTTGTGGGGCAAGGACAATACTCACAGCCTTGGGAAGAGAGGAGAGCAGTACACTAGAAGGCTCTCCTAAAGAAACATTGAGGAACTGGAGAACTGATGGCACAAGTCACCGAAGGGGAAGAGAAGAGGATCATCAGGCAGAGGAAATAGGATATCTGAAAGCCCAAAGATGCAAGGTCCTACAAACACAGCAGATACTCTGTACTATTGATTAAATGAGTGTTATGTTGTCTTAATTCATGCTAGGGTGTTAATGGTCAATATGGAATCAGTACTCCTAGTGGAGGTTGTGTTTTAATTAATAGGTCATAAATCTTCACACTAAGAATTCGCTGTTGGTAGAATGTCAAGATGGAATGGAGATGCTATTTAAAGTCTTGTTTTTACCACTGTACCTGAGGTTACCAAGGAGCTGACTGATTCCTGAGGGCCAGGTAAGCCCTGATCTCACACATCAAAGGTCTCCTGCCTTCTTTTCTCACTGATCTGGCTTAATCCTGGCTCACCTGAGGCCAGACCAGGGAAACTCAGAGATCTCCAAAGGGCTGCAGTGCATTCTAAAAGCTACGTGAACAGACTTTTGGGTAAGGATACCCTAGACCTCCTTGCCAGCTCCTCCCCTACCCATTTCTGTGGCCTTAGGCAAATTATTTAACTTCAGTGCAATTTAGTTTCCTTATCTATCCAATGAGAATTATAGCAATAATTACCATCTAAGCTTTTGGGAGGACACAAAGGACAGAATCAACAAAAGCTGAGAGTGGTGAGTGGTGTCACTGTTTTTATTGTCGTTGCCATTTCTATTCCTAGGCCTCTTTTCATGCTCAGTCTCTTTTCTAAGTCTCTCCTTAACACATGCACCTGCAGACATGAAGCTGGGGCGGAATGTGGCGAGAACATTTCTAGATTATTACCGGCTGAACCCCCTGTTGGAGAAGGTGACAATTCCCATGCCAAAACTACGGTAAGTAGCAGAGCAGAGCAGATGGGCTTTGGTCCTATTTATCTGGCTTGGGGGTTCAGGGTAACTTCCTCAGCTTCTTTCTGGCCCTTAGTTTCCTATCTGTGCTCTAACAGAGGCAATCCTAGACCTACCTCAGAGACCATATGTGTCAGAAGAGTCCATCTCCTAAGCCTAGAATATCATTATGTATCATCTCCTGTAGCGTCTGGGTTGCAGCCCCAGACTGTCGCTCATTAAGGCCTAGGGCAAGTTCCTTGGCTTATCTGCTTAGTCTGAGGATGTCTCAGGGTCCATATTCCACAGTGCAGTGTGCTCTACATCTCTGAGCCCCAGGGCCGTACAAAGTCTGCATGACAACCTACACTGTTACAGTGAGGGGTGGTCCCATTTTAACATCTAACATGGGGTGGATGTTGCTGGGGGCTGACACTGGTCCTCGTTCTATGTTATTCTGAGTGTTTCCATATGCTCCTTCATCAGCTAGTGCATCCTCTCAGCTTTCTGTACCAACTCCATGTCTTCCATTTCTTTGTCTGTAAAGTGCGTGCATACCTTTCCAATTAGGGTGAAATACACAGGATGCACCTGGCAACAGTGTACATTCACCCTATCAATACATGACTTGTCCCCTCCCTTAAAGACTTGAAGGTTTGGAACTAGACAGGACACCCCCCCACTGAGACTTCCAAGCCTAGGTGGAACATTCTACCAGCTCATGAGTGGCTGGGGTAAGTTCTCTGATGGGGCCAACCTGCAGGTCCAGTGAGGAGAGAAGGCTGGAAGGTGAGCATCCATCTTACCTGAGAGCTAGACAGGAGCTGGACCTGCTGAGCGTCCCCATGCCTGCTGTCAACCATCCTGGTGAGCATTTGGGGAGTGACATCCAAAGGCATCAGGAGTGTGTCAGCCCTGCCCTTTCTCTGGACCTGTTTGCCTACTCCCCCAGTGGACAAGCCTTCCGGAAGGATGGGACTGTGTCCAGCAACCTGCTTCTTCCGGATCATCCTTCCCACTGACCTTGCCCGTATACTTCAGATCTGTGCACTGATACACATTGCTCTCCACCCTCTCATTAATTAAACAATATAGATCGCTGTTATTTATTGTATTCATTTTTACATCATTTTATACATTCCCAGGGGCCAGGAAGATGGCTCAGTGGAATAAGTGCTTCCCTGGCAAGCCCAAGGGCCTGAGTTCAATCCCCAGTTCTGCCAAAAAATTAAATAAATATACATTCTTGATCTTACAAATGAGGAAAAAGAAGTCCAGAAAGGTAAAAAGGGTTGTCTAAGTCCACAGTTTTTAGCAGGTCCAGGATTTGATTATAAGAGCTTATGATTGCAGAGCCATCCAAACATCTCTGGCAGAAGTTCATCAATGTGGACTCAAAACTCTCTCAGGCGCCTAGGAGCTGCACAGCCATGTTCAACCTGCAGCCACAGGGCACGTCCCCTCTTTTATTTATGTTATAAAAACAAATATATAAAAAGGAAATTTTATTACTTATGTATTAACTGCACTATATATTTTATATGCAGCCCAAGACAATTCTTCTTCACTCAGTGTCAAACCAAAAGGTTTGACATGGACATGCCTGACACAGGAGTGTAGGCAAGTTTCTTGGCCTCTTAATGGCTTTCTTTACCCCTAATGGGAATAGTAACAACCACCTCTACAGATGATCTTAAGGGTTGGATATGAGCTTACTGCAATGCTTAGCACCCAGTAGGTGCTCAAAAAAATAACCTCATCTCCTCTAGCTTCTGGATTGTGGTCCCAACTCCCAACCAGTTTATGATGGTCTAGGGTAAGCCCCTTGGCTTACCTGTTGCATTCCACAATCAAATGAGTCAAGCTTGTGAAGGTCCCAGGTGCCCCTAGAGTCTGCATAACAATATGCTCTCATGATACCTTGTCTCAGCTTGCACACAAATTGTTTGTGTCCCCATCCTGGATACTGGAAACTCTTCCAGAAGGATCAAGTCTGTTTTTTCTCTCTACCCCTGTACTGCCTACTCTACACTGAATGTGCATGAATATATTCATTCATTCACTCATTCATTCACCATTCATTCACCTTGGAAACACAATACCTTATGCTGGGTCCTTGGCAAAAGGAGGCGCTGCAAGGAGCTGGTGAGGAAGGCATGACCTTTGCCTTTGTGGAGCTCAGCTCTACAGGAAAATGCTTCTTTCATTCTTATAAGTCATTCTTGATTAGTCAAAGTTCTTAAAAAATTAAAGCTTTATAAAACTCAAAAGAATTCTCAGAATCTCATTTACAAGTTAATTTGGGGATTATCTCTTTCAGGTGCTCTGTCAGTCTGAATAAAATTATCATGATCCTTCACCGCCATTTTTTCCCATGTTGTATCATCATAGACCAGTGAAATGGTGCTGCCACTCGGGGGGATTCTCAGGATCATCTAGTCCCTCTTCACAATACAGATGAGGACACTGAGATCCAGGGAGTGCAAGGTCAAGGTCACACCATTAGAGCCAGGACTAGAGCCTAGTTCTTCCCAGCTACATGTACTTGAGTCAGTCCATGAAGATGGGGCTGAGGGTGCCCTTGAAGCTGGGTCAGAGGGTGCAGGGCAGACCTAAGGGCTCTGATGGGAAATGCTCAGGACTCTCTTTGCTCTGAGGTTAGGAGCTCTCTTAGAAAGGAGCAGAACTCTTCCCTAGTTCACCAACCGCCTCGAGGATGACTTTAACAAACTATATCTCTGGTTTAACCAACTATGAACACCACTGAACTTTAAATCGATAAGTAACCCTTTATGATTTTCCAGAAACATAGCCTCTGATTCTAATTTTGGAATTGAGTACTCCCTTCCTCCTTTTTTGGTATTATTTTCCACCAGAGCATCAAGTAGCTTAAGCAAAAGAGCAGTTCTGCTTTTAAAGGGAAATTACATGTTTTGAGTCAAATTAATATTTATTTTCCCCCATCAGTATGGATAATTACAATATGTCATTTTCCTCCTACAAGCTGGCAGGAGCTGGTCGGCATCCTTGGGTGATGAGCAGAACAGCAACATTGGCCCAAGAACTTGATCTCAGGGATGTGTAGTCAGTGAGCAAAGCAGAGCCCCACTTTTTTTCCCCCACAGCAACACACAGCTCTAGTGCCCCAAAAGCCCCTGCCAACTCAGATGGGGGAAGCAGGCAAAGTGAGCTTCTAGGGTAGATGCAGCCTGCATGTGGAGGGCAGGCTGACTTCTGCGTGGGAGATGGGCTTGGGTTCTGAACAAGCCGGGAGGACCAGGAACTTTCATGGTGTGCGTGCATGCGTGCGTGCGTGCCTGTGTGTGTGGTCATCAGCTACTCAATACACTGGAACCCTCCATGTGCCAGGGCCTGTGCTGAGTGCTGGAGGCTCACAGAGAGCCCTCACCCACCAGGAGCTTGCATTTACAGAGGACAAGGGCAAGGATGCATGCAAATACAACAACATGAAACTGTGCACAGAAAGTGCTTAGCTATCTGTCCAGTTATCTCCTCTTCTCCATAGTCCCTCGGGGCTCCCCATTGCTTTCCAGCAGCTCCTCTTCTTGCTACTCAAGACCCTGGCCTAAATTTTAAACTTCATTTACCTTCTACCACCACTTCCATGAGCATCTCATGCCCTGTGCTTCCACCCACGTTCATGCCTCCATGTTTCTATTTATACTTTTTCTGGAATGTTCTCCCTTGATCTTATACATGGTGCACTCTCACTTGTCTTTTAGAGCTTAGTCTACATGTCACACCCTCTGTTCGGTCCCTTGGCTCCACCTCAGACAGAGCTGCTTCCTCTGTGTTGAGTTCCTAGCTGCATTTTTGTGCACACTGCAGACATTTTGCACATGTGTTTATACAACATGTCCTGTGGCTACTGTCACGGCATCTTTGCATGTCTGGCTTGTCCTTGGAAGCAGTCTTGCTCTGCTCTGTCTCCGTGGTGCATGGTGAAGGGCTGGCATAGATTTAGTCCTAAATTGGTCCTGAATGTGACTGAGCATAAAGTGTTAGAGCTGAGGAAGCCCTCAGAAACCATCCTTTTTGATCTTTTTACATGACAGAAAAGAAAAGTGAGACAAAACCAGATATTGCTCTCCCACACAATCTGGCAAGTATTTGGCAGCTGACAGGTGCTTTTAGTGGAACTCAGACTTAAGTTTTAAAGGATGTAAAGAATTTGTATTGATGAAAGAGAAAGGAAGAAAAGACATTCTATGCTGGGGGCCAGGTTGTGGGGAGGTGCGAAGCAGGACCTAACAAGACACACTCAGTATGTCTGACTATGACAAGGCCAGGATGTTTAGTGAGAAAGAGATGATAACGAGAAGATGAAATGCCCATTGCCATTCCTGACACACTCCTCAAGCACCTGCTCTGCATCAGGCCTGAGCTTAGCTCAGGAATTATAGAGAAAAAACAAATGCACCTCACACTAAGTCTCAGGGAGTAAACATACAGACAAAACAACCTAGAAAGTGGTGAGTGAGATCTGACATGATGTGCAAAGTGCTGCAGAAGCCCCAAGGAAGAGGAGATCTACTGGGAGAGGTCAGCTCCCAACAGAAGTGAGTTTGGAGATGTAGAAAGGAGAAGGGCCTCCGCAGAGACCAGTGGTTAGGATGTTTGCTTTCCAGTGTCTCCTTTCTCTCTCTGTATCCTCAGAGGTTCTCTGCCCTCCTGACCCCTCCCCAGGTCTCCATGCCCAGTCATGCTCCCCACTGCCACCACTGCATACCTTATTCCACCTGCTGACACCAAATTGAGCTTGTCTCTCTAGGGTTAGCACACCTTCTTTTGTCCCCATAAAACCCTCCCAGCTTATGTCCTATGCTTCTTCTGAGTGCAAAGGACTACCTCTATGAATGAAAAAATGGTATCATGTAACTTAAAATATCTTCCCCAAGCTTCATCTCACCAGACACAAAGAGGCAGAAAGGGCATGAGTTCTTTTCCTTTTTAGGAATGCAGAAATCGAGTGTTAGGTAAAAGAAAAGGACTGCTTCAAGGTCACTTTTTCTCAAGGCTGGGCATGTAGCTCAGTGGTACAATGCTTGTCTGAAATACACAAGGCCTTAGGTTACATCTCCAGCACCACAAAAAACCAACTGAACAACAGAAAGCTGGATCTCATTCTGGATACGCAACGTCACGAGCATGTGCTTTGCAACACCACGGTGTTATCAAAGACTGATTTCTAGATGAATCTTTACACTAGACAGTCTCTTGCCACTTTAGCAGTCCTCAGTGACTGGCAGTTTTCAAAGGAGGGGGAGGCCCCTGGTGGGGAGATAGGTCAAGGCAGTGTCTCCATTTGGGTGCTGCCACCTACTCTGTGCTGCACTTTACTTAGGACTCTTCACCAGTGATGGAAACGAGTGTCCCACAGTCAGAGCACGATGAGCCACACAAACCCACCTCTTCAGTCTGAGTTCAGATTAGCTCAGGAGATTCCTACATTTCCAGTATTTACTACCTAGTGCTTGACATGATAGTATTTCATATAGTTATTTTGTACAACCATCTCCTCTATTAAATTTCATTAAGCAATAGAAAGGCAGCATCAATGTTTCTGCCTCATCTCTGTCCCCTCTGGAGTCAGACTGTAGCACCTGGATTTGTAGCCCCACGCATCTGTAAATTGATTCAGAAGGGAAAAGAAGAAACCCAGGATGTCTATTTGTATTATTTCACTTAACCTTACAACACCACTGCAAGATTGGGAGACTTTTTCCTTGCCTAACAAATGAGGCTCAGGAGGTTGGATAACTTTCCAAAGTCATACATCTTAGACATAGCCAGTGTAGGAATTCAGATCTACTCTTTTGGGCTCAAAAGCACATTCTTCCCACTAGAAATAAATTTAAGTCCAGTGACTAAATGAATGTTACAAAAACATAACAAGCATGACATATGCAAGATAAAATGCAAAAATGAATGGAATTTGGTCCCTGCTCACCAGAAGCCCATTGCCTAATATGTGAGCAAAAAAAGACAAATGAACAATGGGCCATGTTAAGGGTATTTCACCAGGTTCTGGATGTTGGGTCCTGGACATAGAAATCAACCAGACCTATCTCTGCTCATCAGGATCTGCTGGACTGATTGGGAAGAGAGCCTCTACGAAATGCCATAATTAGCCTGTGCCAAGGAACATAAAGGGGCTCTGAAGCCCAGGATGATTATGTGGGCAATGAGGTTTCAAACTCTCTCAAGCAATAACCTCCCTTTTCTTTTTAACAAGGATGCCAGCACTTTCCAAGAAGCCCAAGGCAGGCGGCCTAACCCTATTGGCTTCCTTCCAAAGCACCAAGCTATAGCTTTTCTATGTGTTCATCCCTGTCTTGTGGTGGAATGGCTTGAATGAGTTGGAATCAGGGTGGAAAGGTGGGAGGGCTGGAGCTGTAGGACAGTTATATTTTCCCAAGAACCAGAATAACACAATGGATCCATCCATGCATCTAACAGGCATTCACTGAGCAATAGCACCCACTTGAAACCAGGCCCTGAGCCAGGTTTTAGAGACTCAGAGAAGAGGAGGACAAGGCTACTGTTCGTAGGAGGCTACAGTCCAGCAGGAGAATAGCCATGCACTCAAAGGATTTTCTTACAATGTGTGTATGTGCTGTCTTCTCTCTTTCTGTTATCTCCGCCTTTGCAGGAAAGAAAAACCCCCTCCCTACAAGCACCCACTTCTACGGGGCCCGGCCAACAACCACCCTAACGGCAAAGGGGACAAGAAGAGCTCAGTGAACCACAAAGACCCTTCAAACCCTTTTTAAAGATGTGGAGTCCAGGGAGTCTTTGTGGAGGCAGGAACATGCACTTCCTGCCGGGACATGAAATTAATCACCCTTGTCTGGTTTCCAAGGCAAGGATTTGAAGGATAATGCATAGGCTAGTGAAAGGGAAGTGGGGGGGAGAGAAATTTCATCATTGATTTTCCTATGGAAAATCAATTGGGAGCCTTCAGCTCAAGGCTGAACACAGTAAGAGACAGGAGCCAGGAGAACACAGGCAGTACTTTCCACAACATAGAGATCCACACACATCCCCCTTAGGAGGTTTGACATATCTCGGGTCATTTCTTCGGAAGCTCCCTTACCTTTTAAAGTCATATAGTTACTGCAGATGGTTCCCGTTTAAAATAGGTCACAGTTGTTTATGGCTTTAGAAAATGCAATATCCATATTTTCTAATCCAAAACAATAGCAACATCATATACAACCCACAAGCAATTGTACTATTGGGAACAATGTGACAGAAGTTTTGAAATCATAGTGGTCGCTGTCTGTAAGCAACATGCATGCTTCCTGATTCCCCCAAGACCCAGCACGCAACTTCAGAAAACTGCTCTGAGAGCTATTTCTCAGCTTCTTGGGGTAGTTATCTCCCCCTTTGTGGGAAAGAAAAACCCCCTCGCTATAAGCACCCCCTTCTACAGGGCCCAGCCGGCAACCACCGCAACAGCAACGAGGACAAGAAGAGCTCAATGAACCACAAAGATTAAAGCTTTGGCTTCAAAGACAAAAGGCATTGGTGACTCCTTCCCAAGTATCCGTCCGGTTAAGGTCTCCGAGTCCTTGGTTCCAGGCTCATGCCTGAACCCTGAAGAGATGCATCTCTGGCGATCTGCTAGGAAGGAAGGGGAATTGCCAGGAAAAGGAGGTTGTAAATGACAAAAGAATGTACCCTCAGGCATGTCGAAAAGCTAAAATAAAAACAACAGCAGCAGCAATTCCCAGGGTAGGGCAAGCTAAATATTGTGCATTTTTTTCTGAAGAGTAAAGTGCCTTTGTATGATGAATGGGTCCAGGGGAGTCCGCTCTCTTCCTGTCTGTGGAAGCAGCCGGCTGAGTCACCATGACAGCTTGCTAATTAAAATGACCTCCTGGAAATGAGGATTAGAAGATAGGGAGAGGAAGGAAGGCTCCGGGGAGATAGGCCTTTAGAGCAAAGCTCCAGTTAAGCATTCTTTTGGCTTGTGTTGGAGATTTTTGAAGTTCATTGCAAAAATCAAGAGCAAAGCTTGTACTTCTTTTACATGCTGGTTTTCAGAAAAGATAACAAAAAACCATATGTTAGTTGGCTACAAATGATGTGTTGTATATACAGCTTCTCCCCTGGGCTTTTGTTGCCAGAGAACATAAATAAAGTGGTTTGTGCGGCTCTTCTGTTCCTGAGTGTTCTTGGCATCTTTCCCTTTAGGTGAAAACCCTCTCAAAAGCCTATGAGTCAACCTAAAATTGGAATAATCCTTACTTTGGGGCCGGGGACTCTATCATCAAGATAAGGAAGAACAATGAGATTTGAACTTCCAGAAGTTCCTGCATCGGTCTTGGGGAGCTTCATTGATTTTAACTAGCTTGAAATGAGCCAAAAATGTGGCAGTCTTTCAGAGACGAAGGCATCACTTTAGACAGCATAGGCAGAGGCAGAATACAGAAAACAAGAGAGATGATACTCCAGATCTATTTTTCCCTGGACAGGACACAGCCATAGATCTTAACTGTATATGGGCCTTGTATTGCAAACTGCACTGATGAATTAGGGCCATGGGCCACACAGATAACAGATATGCTACTAGTTTCAGAACAAAAACTTAGAGATCCACAATATAGAGATCCACACACCATCCCCCTTCTGAGTTATAATCTGAAACCCAAGGCCCAGTTTTATCTCTCCATAACTCTGGCAAGTTATTTAACATCTGTGGATCTTAGTTTCCTCATCTGTAAGATGGTAATGGTAATATCTACCTTCTCAAAATTGTTATGGAGATTTAAGGAACTTAGGTATATAAAATATTAGCAGAAAACATTACGTGCTCACTAAATAATAGCTGTGATTGTTTACAACATGGCCAGAATAATGAAAAGTCTGAAAATCATTCCACAAAGAAATAGATGAGGAGCGGGGAGCTGTTTATCTTCTAGATAAAAAAAAAAATAGAGGGTAAAGTTGCACACTACAAAGTTGAAGGGATAGCATGGGGAAAAGAAGAAAATTTGTTCTGTGTTGCCCAGAAGTTATAAGCAAATCCAGAGAGTGAGTCAAGGAAGACCAATTTCTAGTTAGGATGAGGAAAGCATTCTAGCAAATACAGTTGCCAATCCTCAGATGGATTCCTGAAAGACAGTGAGCTCCCCATCACCAGAAGTATGCAAGCGGAATCTAAATAAACATATATCAGGAATAAAGTAAAAGGATCTCCTTCTCTAGGTGTACACTGGATCAGCAGCTTGGGTGCTCAGCCTTTGACTCGAGAGAAATGCTAGGTACAGAATGAAAAGCATCACTTAATGCTAGACACAAAAACATTAACATGTCTCTGGATTTCAATATGTGGACGCTACTATCATTTATCATTCTTTAAGAAGGAAAAAAAACAAGGTTATATGATAGAAAGAGGTTTACTTGGCAATAAGACTTTCTGTCTCTCCTCACTGGCAGAGTAGAAAGGAAAGGGCCAGGCGAGACACCAAGGACTGTTGGTGATTTTCTGCTGACCTTGGCCTATGCAGTTCCTCCTTATATATATAACCTCTCTTGGACAAGGTCATACCTACTACACTGAGCCAGAGAGGAAAGGTTTTCAGCCCTGAGGTACAATTCCACACAGAGCCAACAGGTGAATCAGCCAGAGGCTACTAGTGCAACCATGCAACCACCTGGACTCAGGGGGATGGGGGACTTCCAGCCAGTTGTCTCACCTCTACTTGTGAGATGAGAACAATTAAGTAGGTAGATCCAAGGATCAAAATAGTGTTCTGTGTATTTCTGAGACGAAAGAGACAATTGTGTGCAAAGGAAGGGTGGAAAGCAGAGGGGAGGGACACTGTAGGTCTCAACTTGTTTCCACACAACTCTTCATACTGAGCAGTGCCTTATTGTATAATAGTTCAGCATCTCAGAGACAGAGTAGATGTCTGTGTAGCCTCCAAAATTGTGGTGAACAGGTGGAAGCTGCCCACCACAGAAGAGAACAGTCACCTATACTGTTCCCTTTGCCAGAGATTTTGCTGTCACCTTGGAATGGGGAGAATGAGAGGTAACACAGGATAAGCTTGCATTCCTTCACTGTTGCTCAACTGCTATATTTTAGGGCTGCTTTAGGGAATTCTAATCTATTTTTCTAAGTAGAAAGGTCAGAACCAGTCATGAATATGTGGAGTAAGTTAAGCATAGATTCATATACCTACCAAATGTATATGGAAAATGTATTACACACCAGGTATTACACTAAGATGCCTTTGTATCCACTGCCTTCTTTGATGTTCCTAACAGACTCATAAGGTGTCACTTTCTATGTCGCCCAGGTGAGATGAGGGTAAAATCCTTTTTCACATGGCTTGGAAGAACCTGAATGCAAACACACATCTCACTTTCCATTACTCCACAATTGGCTGTCTCTGGTTATCTCCAGATAAAATCGGGTCACAACAGAAATCAAGTTTCAGCACAATAACAAGTAAACAATGGCACCATTTAGACCTATTAGGGGTGGAGAGAGGGTGAGGGAACACATAAGCTTTGTGGCTTCAAAAACATTTTAAGGATTTCAGAACTTTCAGCAACTGCTGCTGAAGCCCCACCTTCTCCTTCTGTCTCAGTCCCGCACAGCGGAGTTCCTTCTGGGTCCTCCAGAGTCTTTCATGACATAAGGTTTGGGCAAGAGGTGTATCTATCCTATGTCATGAAGAAACTTGTAGGTCTCCCAGAATTCCTAGAATCTCAGCAAGGTCAGTACAGAGCTCATCCTGGCACCTGCTGGGTTTCCATCCACATGCAGGTATTCTAGCTGAGGTATCTCATCGCTCCCTCCTTCTAAAGCATATGAACTGAGCCACTGTGTCCTTCGGTTGTTCAGAATTCTACCTCTGAGTCCCTGCCTCCTCAGCACTTTAGGGCTTCTTTGGTGATAGAGCTCAGCCAGGGAGGCCAGAGAGCTGGAGAGATTATGACATAATAGAAACAGCCCTGAGACTACACTTAGTGTAGTCAGACCCATTAAGTGTCAATCCCAACTCTTCTGTTTACTATCTTCATGGCTTTGAGCAAAGAATATAACCTCTTTAGCCTTCAGGACCCTTATCTAAAAAAGACAGGGTGATTAACATATCGATTTCCTACGCTGTGGTATGGTTAGATACAATGTCTATAAAATACCTGACTTAGAGGGGAACTCTTTCCCCAACCAGTTTTATCCCCACCCTGCCACTCACCTGCTTACTATGAAGAGAAATTCCATAGTGCAGACGGAAGAATGAGCACCTCTTGAATACAGGCCAGGAGTAAGAGAGGTGTCCATAAAAGCACAGTCACAATAAAGGACCAGCACGAGGCCAGAGACCCAGCTTCTAGTTATCCTTGTGGCCTGAGCCCTCAGCACCCGTCCTGTAGCACAGCCTGAGCTCACTGAGCACAGAGTGAATCAGTGGTGTGGGTGGAGGTCACCTGCGGGCCTGACACCCTTGGTGAGGGGCACTGTAACTTAGGGTTCCACATGGATAGGAAGACAATATTAGACATGACATTTAACTGGCCTGAAGGAAAGCAATGCTAAGAAGACACAGGGGAATGGGGGACAGATCCTAAATCTTACCATGCTCTATACCAGGCTCTTTCTATATTATGTTGAATTGGTACACAACACCTGAGGGATGGTCTCTATGACTTAACCATACCTGGTGCTCTGCCAAGTGAAATGCAGGACTTCTGAAGCACTCACTCATACTGCTATTAGTGATTTAGCCTCTTACCAGATCTGCAGCACAGTTGG